ATTGCAGTTCCTTGGCTAGCTCCGCTTACTCTCTGCTCCTGTTTCTTTCCACAGCGTCCTCCTCCGTGGTGCCCATCCCTGGCACTTTCTCCTGGCCCCTGGCTGCTCGAGGGAAGCCCCGCCGAGGGATGCTTCGCAGAGCGGTCTTCTCGGACGTGCAGCGCAAAGCTCTGGAGAAAATGTTCCAGAAGCAGAAGTACATCAGCAAGCCAGACAGGAAAAAGCTGGCGGCCAAACTGGGGCTCAAAGACTCGCAGGTAAGTAACAAATTGACCCCCCCCCCAGTGTGTGCGCGGAGTGGGGAGGGGGTCGCTTCCTCCTGGGCCAGCTGGACTCTCTCCGAGCCCGCAGACCTCAGCAGGGCGGGCTGGGAGCGCTCGGCGCTGCGCAGGGGCGCGGGAGAGGGGAGAAGAGATCCCAGGGGGGGCGGATCGAGTCCCGGCGGCGGGCGTGGGAAGCAGGGAGGGCCCGGCTGGTCCGGATGGAGGAGGTAGCACTCCAGGCAAGTCCAGAGCGGGGAGCGCAAGCCGAGGCATCGCTAGGGCAGCAAGCCGAGCAGGGTTGCCCGCAAGAATCCATAGCCTGGTAGTGCCCACTGCGCCGGGGGGGCGATAGCAGCAGCCAAGGGGCTAAGAGTCTCCCGGCGCTACAGTCCGTGTAACGGGGCCATGGCTCTGTGAACCCTCCCGTGCAGGTGAAGATCTGGTTCCAGAACCGAAGGATGAAGTGGAGGAACTCCAAAGAGCGAGAGCTCCTCTCCTCCGGGGGCTGCAGGGAACAAACCTTACCCACCAAGTTCAACCCTCATCCCGACCTCAGCGACGTGGGCAAGAAGTGCTCAGGGGAGGAGGAGGAGGAAGAAGCAGCGTCTCCTCTCTGCCCAGCCAGCCCCCGGCACACCTTGACCTTCCACCAGTCCCCAGAGCATCTGCACTTGAGGGACAGACTGGACTCTCAGATGCCCCCCTCTCCGTCCCACTCCAGCAGCCCCAGCAAACCCTCAGACTTCTCAGACTCAGAGGAAGAGGATGATGAGGGGGAAGAGGAGGAGATTACAGTCTCTTAGGTCTCCTGCCCACCCCCACCACAACAGGGGACTTTGCAAAGATGCAAATCAATGACTAGAACATATAGAAGTGCTATCAAATTGAAGAGGTGGTGTCCCTTCTGAATATCTCCATGACTCTCATACACAGGTTATTTATGGCATAGCCAGGTCTAGCTACACTTACATTCCTTTCCTTGTCTGTTTGCTCTGCTTCTGAAGCCTTGTATACATGCCATCCATTAATTAGCCTTCCCCTTTGTATCTATGGTTAGCAACCAAACTTGTACAATAGCTCCATTTCCCCCATGCAATCCAATGCCCCAGAGAAGATAATTTGAACTTTGGAAGGCATTCTTGGTATACAGCAAGTAAAGAAATGGAATGGAGACTGTTTTCTAGACAAAATCATGGTAAATGCCATAATCCTTTTAATTAGATTTCAAGAGAATTCCCAAGTATTAAGGTATGGAAATTATGGAAGCTGTATGGCCTGATCTTGGTACCCTTATTTACATGAGTGGTCCTTACACATGTGGAACTATTCATGGGCCACACACAGCTCCTCTTAAGCACACCCAGTGGTCCAATACTCCGTATGTGTCAGTGGGATACATCTGAAGTACATTCTTACTTAACTGGGAGAACCTGGCCCACATAAGGACTGCTGGCATGAACAAGGGTTTCAAAACTGGGGCCTATGTGCTTATATTTAAATTGGTGCAGAGATACTATCTATGAAGCACTCTCTAAACCATTTTTAGTTTTATCAATTTCTACATTGCTTCTACAATAGGTTTAATGTGGAGAGAGGAAAATGGATATGCCTCTTTGATTTTTGACTGAACTTTGCTGTCTTTGCACAGCTTTTTGAACTGTACACTATTTTGTACACTTACGCTGTATGGATATTTTATACCAAGGTTATTGTGAATGAGTATAAAGATGGACTGATAAGATTTCTCTTTTGTTTTTAATGGTTTTTAAGCTAAAAAAGTAGCTGTTTAACTATGTAACTTATAAAGAAACACTTTTATTTTGTATTTTATGTGTACAGATTTTAAATATGTATATATAATAAATGCAATAATGCCAAATAAAAAGTAGATTTCTGTGGTTGGTCATGTCAGCCATAAATTGTGCCTTGGGACCAGTGGTGGATATAGGGAAGGGCGAGCAGGGAAGCTGCTCCCCCTTGGGACCAGTGGTGGATATAGGGAAGGGCGAGCAAGGAAGCTGCTCCCGGCCCCGTGCTTCAAAAAGCCCTGCGCATGTGCCGTGGCACCACGGCGCATGCGCCATGTCAAAGGGGGGGCCCGGCAAAATTGTGCTGCCCTGGGCCCAGCAAAATCCTCATCCCCCCTTGCTCGGGACAAAGGAATTTATGAAGGTCAGGAGAATAGCAGGCCCAGAGATTGAACGAGACCAATGTCAGCACTTGAATTTAAAACTGATACATTTATATTGTGTTACTAAGATTTAAAGTGCATGAGGCCTGTCCTGCAATCCTTTTTCCTAACCCTATCCCTACTCTCACAAATAATCTAACTGCATTCCTGTGCATGAGCAAGAGCTTCCATTTCTACCTTGGTTGCCTCAGCTGAGTCTTCTTTCTCAAAGCTCCAACATTTATAGCAAGATCAGAGGGCAAATACTGAAGATCCCATGGGCTCAGTTCTACATGGTGGTGACCAGGTACCATGCAATCAGAATGTTTGCATTAGAACACTGCAACATCAAGTTGGTGCTTCTTTTAGCAATTCAGTTTGGAACAAGCAGACAATTTAGAAGCCTTAAGCCTCATCCTGCATACACTTCTGGGTGGAGAACTTACAACAAAATATTACCATGATCTGGTTCCAAGCTAGTAATAAGATCCGCAACATCCCAGCAGAGTTGAAGTAGGGCCTGTGACCAGAGTTACCTCTAATCTTTTCCATACAGGTGCAGAATAAAAGGTTTTATGTGCATGAGACGTGTGAATGTGCACCACTGCTAGAAATGAAAAACCCATCCGAGGGCACTCTGCTAATCAGCTGTGCGGCACCTGAATACTTCCTGAGCAGCCGCACAAGTGCACAGCGTATGGGGAAACCTGCCTGTGACTTATTTATATTTCAGATTCATAGTCTGGACTCAATTATGTTCCACTAAAGATGAGGACTAAGGTCTATGATTACCATTTACAAGTAATTTAAACATCAAAAGCACACAACATCTCCCATTAAATCCAAAGGAAAATCATCCCATTGACTCCAAAGGAAAATCATCATTAGGATTTACAACATGGAGCAATGCAATGGAATTAAGCAAAGGAACAATTAGGCTGAATATCACGAATTATGGGGAAATCCCTAACACTTGTGGAATAATCTCTTCAAGGAAGTTATGGGAGCCCCATGGCTAGAGACATTTAAAATTGGAATGGAGATTATACCGCATGAAATAGCTCTGAACTGATTGCAGGGATGGATTAGATGATCTAATAGGTCTTTTTCATCTCTAACGCCTATGATTTACTCAGTGGGTAATTGTAAAGCTGAACCACAAAGGAAAAGATATTGACAATTGCTGAAGCACTTATTATTTGGCATTGGGTGAAGGTGGTTTTTCTTTTTTTTTGGTATGTGCTTAAGTCTTAAAAACCCAGGTACATCCCATACCTTGTGCCCTTTCTGTTCCAATACTATCATTTTGTCAACAACTAAGTTTGGGTCAGGATTAATAGTTGACCTACTCACTGACAAGTTGGAGAGCATTTTCTCTCCTTAATCTCATTTAAATTAGTGTTTTTAGGACCAAAACCCCACTTACAACATAAGATGGCAATATTCATAGCCAAGAGTTTTAAGTAACTAATGATTTTGGGTTTCCAACTAGAGATGCCTTACAGGAGCCTGATTTTCTGAAAGTGTTCCCATTTCTCTGAAAAATCAAGCCCCATTAAGGCTGGAAAGCCAAAAACAGGTATCCCAAAACACTCTTTATCTGATTTTCTGAAAGTGTTCCCATTTCTTTGAAAAATCAAGCCCCATTAAGGAGTCTGAAGCTGGAAAGCCAAAAACACTCTTTACTTTTAAAACTTGTCTCTAGGCCCTTCTGAACATGATGATTGAAAAATAACAATTGTACATTACCAGTTATCGTCTCATTTGAGCACAGTTATAAGCGGGAGAGGAATTCTTCCTTTGTTAGGAGATGAGACAAAATTAGACAGATCAGTATATAATATTACCTTCTCTTCTGCCCCATTCCCATTATCTGTGGATACATTACATCACTTCCACTGAGCACAGTTGGACAATTCAATTCATGTAACATCAAATGAGCTTTCATCAAGATGTCAAAATATAGCATTAATTTGCATAAAGTTATTTACAAAAATACAACATGCATAATTAACCTTTGGAACTGATTGCTACACGATCATATTAAAGTAAAGAGCTCAAAAAAAGGGTTGGGGTAAAATCCTGGCCATATTAAAGCCAATGGCAAACTCCCATGGACTTCAATGAGGCCAAGATTTCACCCTAGGTAAGTGTACAATGAGATCATCTGCAGTTATTTATTTTTTTTTGGCCAAGATTTCACCCTAGGTAAGTGTATAATGAGATCATCTGCAGTTTTTTTTTTTTTAAACATATATTCATATGAGAACTAAAGAAAAAGCTATAAACACTCATAGAGTAGCCAAACTGCAAACGACAGGGCAGAAGAAAAGATGTTACATAAACAGATCATTCCATAACTGCACATTAAGAAGTTTCTTGTACCACTTCCAAAGAAAGGGTCCCAGACTAGATATGAACCATTAGTCTGACCCAGTTTAGCTATACCCACAATATCATGAAGGGTGAAATACTCTCGGATGCGATGGGCCAGCACATAGGGTGACCAAATAGCAAGCGTGAAAAATTGTGGTGGGGGTAGTAGGCGTCTATAGAAGGCAAAGCTCCATTTATGAGGACACCTGATCACTCTACCAGCACAAGACTTGTGTAGTACACCTGTTCTTTTGCTGGCTTTCTGAACTGGGGTGAAATTCACCCCATTTTTTTGTTTGTTTGCACTGACTTAATAGATGAGATTTTCACAAGTGTCATTAAGATTGCAGATTTCTGAATACTTTGCACTCGTAAATGTTAACAAAGTAAGATAAACTTCAAATAAAGATAAATAGAAATCTTAACACTCTACTGTTCCAGCAGCCTATTCTTTTCTTAGTTATTGTTGCTCACCAGTGTCTTTCCACCAAAACACTTTTTCACTGCTTGAAATTAATTCAGACTTACAAGGTTTTGGTCTTTAAAAAGATTAGACAGACATTAAGGGTGATGATGACCAACTAGCTGAACATTAATTCAAGCTAAGGCTGGATGGATACTGCAGACATTTTTCAGTGCATAAATTTTTAATACGAATTTCATAAAAATTTTAATATGAATTGCTCATGAAGAGTAGACAACCATGTAGTTTCCTCAGGATGAGGGGATGGCTTTGATTTTTGCACAAAGATACTATTATTCACTTGCTATTTTAACAGGAAATTAAAGGCAGATCGAAACTGTGTAACATTAACTATAATTTTTGTGAAGAAATGTGTAACCTGGATATTGATTTTAAGACCAACCCAACTGCTCTTGGTGGGACTGATGTCATTCTTTCTATCAGATTATACACAAAATGGGAAAACTATTTCAATCCATGGAGAATGTTTTTGTGTAAAATTTCTCTTGCATGTATTATTTAGGATTGTTCCTTGATCTTTAACTTTGTGCTATAAGAGAGACAATTCTGGTATCAACTCTTTTGCACTCAAAAAAGAAAAGTGAAAAAGAAACAATTATCTTTAATTAAAAGAAAGCCACACTAGCTGACCAGTCACTTGTGAAAGTGGAATGTGTATCTATTGGCTGAGACCCTGGAGGTTTTTCACCTTCCTCTGTAGCATGGGGCACAGATCACTTGCTGGAGGATTCTCTGCATCTTAGGGTCTTCAAACCATCATTTGAGGACTTCAATATCTGAGATATAGGTGAGAGGATTATTCCAGGAGTGGGTGGGTGAGATTCTGTGGCCTGTGTTGTGCAGGGGGTAAGACTAGATGATCATAATGGTCCCTTCTGACCTTAAAGTCTATGAGTCTATTAAGAAAAATGCATTCAAAAACTATTTCACAAATGACTTTTTCCACTAGGATCAAGGTTTGCACTTTCTGCTTAAATACCACTCCTTGGCATTGCATCATGATTAGTCATCTGAAACTGATTTAAAAATGGACTTGAAAAATCAAACAAAATGCCAATATATTGCAAAGAAAGTTCAATCTTGATACTCAAGTTAAATATCTTCACCTGAATAGGAGTTCAAGCTGTTTGATGATTAATGTTCCAAGAAATTGATTCTCTAGGACCTTAGTATCTCGCTTAAAAAGACTGCTTCAGAAGATCCAGGACGGGGGTTATGATCTGAAATATACCTCAGTATACCAAGTTCTCAGGCTTGTAATTGAAAGCAGGGTCTTTTAATCTACTCTAATTTGATAAACACCCTGTCATGGCTCCTTCCCCACTCTGGCATGATAAATGCAGAAGTGGGGGCCAGCAAGTGTACCCCAAAGCCTTATCTACCAGGCTTTGGTATAAAACTTCCCCCCAAGATCTTAAAAACCTAGATCTTGGGAATAAAACTTCCGCTGCCACCACCCAAATGTTGCTAAAGAAACCAGGGAAAGATCATTTGGGAAATCTCACCCCTATTATAAAAATCAGGACACACAAGTAACCAATGCCAGGTTAATAAAAAGAAAAGAGAAAACTTTTATTATTACAACAATATTCCTGTTGCAAGCATAAGGATCAGATGGAAAGGTAACAAAATATACTCATGGAGGAGTTACACCATGGGCTAGAACTTAATTAAAAAGAAAAGCCAAACATCTCTTAAGCAGTGCCAAATATCAGATCCCATACCCAACCCTTAAAACAATAAAGCCTAACGAAACTACCTAAACTTTACCCTACTTACAGAAAGTGAAGAATTATTTCTTGGAGAGAGCGAGAGAGAGAGACATGCTTGTCCCTCCCTGTAGCTGCAGAGGACTCAC